TCTCACTCTGTCATCCAAGCTGGAGTGCAGTGGTGTGATCATAGCTCACTGCAGCCTCGAACTCCTGGGCTCAAGCGATCCTCCTGCCTCAGCCTCCTGAGTAGCTTGGACTACAGACACGTACCACTGTGCTCAGCTAATTCTCAAAAATTATTGTTATTTGTAGAAACAAGGTCTCACTCTGTTGCCCAGGCTGGTCTCACAGTCCTAGCCTGAAGCAACCCTCCTGCCTCACTTTCCCAAAGTGCTGGGATTATAGGTACGAGTCACTGTGCCTGGCCATGGGTGTCCCATATTTTTATTTGCAAATCTGGAAACCCTGTGAGGAGTAGTTTGTGCAAAAGTGGTGAAGGACATTACAGACTGAGAAAACAGCGTGTGCACACAGCATGTGCCCAGGATGAGAGGCAAGCGAGAAACTGTTGGGTGGGAAAGTGCAAGGACTTCTGGAGAATAGAAACTAGACCGGTGGGGGATGCTGGGGAGGTGAAGCTGGAGGGGTTGCGGGGGAGTCAGGGCAGGGTCTTGATATTATCCTGGAGCTTGGGCTTTTTCCCGTAGACAAAGAGTGTGTGAGAATTTTAATCAGAGAAATAGTCCAATTGACGTGTTTTGGTTTCTATTTAAAAAGTCATCTTCAAATATGCCTTTTATTTTCAGATGTCTTCTTTCTAGGAGGTGGTATACAAATTTTCATTTATTTATACACAAATTATATTTATAATATGTAAATATATACAATATTAATTATAAATTAATTAGTGTAGTAATAAATGAACAAAAATTGTCAAGCCCAATTTGACAGAGCCTCACTGGAGAATGGGCAGGTGTGACTGTTTGACCAGAAGGCCAGGGATGGTGACCGTGGCCTCCTGGTTTGGGGCTTGGCTGAGGGGTCTTCCTGGCTGTTACAATAGGAACTGATCCTAGGATGGCCTAGTGAGTAGAAATTATAGGGAGCAGAGTTTCCCTACAAGGAAGGAAGAACATTCTGGTGGATTGTCTGAACTTGGTCACTATGTCCCAAACAAGTAAAAGGGATGCTCCATTACAGTCCGTCAAGAATTATGTAGAAGGCCAGGTATGACAGCTCGTGCCTGTCATCCCAGCACTGTGGGAGGCCAGGAGGATTGCCAGAGGCTGGGAGTTCAAAACCAGCCTGGGTAACATAGCAAAACCCCATCGCAACAAAACAAAACAACAACAACAACAAAATTAGCTGAGACCTCTGTCTGGAGTCCCAGCTAATTGGGAGGCTGAGGCGGGAGGATCGCCTGAGCCCAGGAGGTCAAGGCTGCAGTGAGCCCAGGTCATGCCACTGCACTCCAGCCTGGGCATCAGAGTGAGAGTCTATCTAAAAAAAAAAAAAAAAAAAGATGCAGAGGGAGGTGTGCTTACTCTAGGAAGAGTTGGGGCTGGAATTTGCCTTCAACTCCACATTTTAAAGATGCTTCCCAGACATTCCCAGAGTTAATAGCAGTTCAGGCCAGTTCTTGAAAGAGTTAGAAGGGTTCAGGATTATACATCCACAGAGACAGAACGCAGAAGAAGCTTGTCCAAGTAAGAGCATGACCAGGTTTCATGGCATCTTACATCGAATACCACTTTGGCCCTTCGGACTTGTCTGAAAGCCTAAGGATGTGCCTCAGGTGACCCTACCTGCTGAGGGTTCACATTTATGAGCTAGCAGGGCAGCAGGGCAGGCATTAGTAACTCCGTTGCACAGATGAGAACACTGAGGCAGAGAAAGGAAGTGCGATTACCATGAGTCACCCAGCCTGTTAGGAGCAGAGTTGCGGCTGTAGCCTGTGTCCTCTGACTGTGTGCCAGCATGCTTTCCTTGGCATTGTCCTTGACCCATGGCTACACGGCTTCAGGCGGGAGCAGCCTCTCCAGTGTTGCTGGCTGAGGGAGAGCAAGCTCAGTGTATCTTTGGAGAGGATTGCAGAAATCACTGATGATATGATTGATAGTAGAGCAGAATGGGAGCTATGGCTGGGAAGATTCCCTCCCCAGTTTTTCCAGGAGAGGCCAGGAAAAAGCTCTGTGTTTGGGAAGAGGCCACCTGGGAGGCACCTGGGGTGGGGTGCTCTGTGACCTTCTGTGGAGACTGAAGAACTGAAAATGCCTCATGGAGCTGGTGTTTTGAAGTAACAGAGGACGTACTTCCAGGCTTCATGCACGGGCATTTTGGCAGTGTGGGAAAATCAGAACTTTTGGGAAATGAGAAACATAAGTTAAAGCTGCATTTGGCCTGTGTTTAAGCCATTCTGGAAGGAGGGGGCATGTGTCTCCTGGCCCACAGTTCTCATACTCAGGAACCCTCAAATCTGGGAGCTCTGTCATGTCAATTGCATGTTTAAAGAGCTTTTGTTCTAGAAACTTCTGCACACACAGGAGTGCGTGCACGCACAAACACACACACTTGCCATTAGGAAAAGGGGTACTGGATTTTGAAGTGGAAAGATTGGACAATAAGGAGAAGGACAAAAGTACTATGTCCCATTGCAATATAAAGTCTTCAGGCTGATCTCCCTGGCACTGCTATGCAGGATGTGAATTGCCCAGGAGGGTGGGGGCGGGCGGTCCCTCTCCCTCATCCCAGGAATGGATTAAAGTCTCCTGATGGGACCGAGGTCTAGGGTCCTTCCTTTCCACCTGGGTCTGGGGGAGTCAGGAGTGCGCTGGATTTAGCATTCTGGGGTCTTCTCCCATCACTCCCTGTTTGACCAAGAGACAACTGTGTTCCCAGCAGGGGTCAGTAAAGGAGTAGGACCGCTAGTGGTCGGTGGGGGGAGGTGGCGACTGAAGGTGATAAAAGTCTATGCAGAGTGACCACACAGAGGCAAGCTCTTCCTACGCATGGATTTGTGAGGTTTACTCCCGACCTGGGACTTCCAGGGCTGGGGAGGGGCAGTCACCTGGATGAATTTCCAGCATTTAACAGCAGACAAAGTCCTCCTGCCATTCGGGAAAACTGAAGACGTGAGTGAACGGTCAGCTATGCCTGGGTTCAGAGGTGAGAGGATGTCAGCTGCAAACACCCATCTTTGCAGTGAGGAAACAGACACATTTGGCTTGAGGCAGAGGGCCTGGCCCTAGGAGAGAAAAAGACCCCCTGCCAAACAGCATTTTTCTCTAAATGCCCCTTGAATTGAGACACAGTCGCCGGGTCTCCTGCGGTCTATTCCCTGTGAGGAATGTCTTCCTCAGCTCCACAGGCCAGCCTCACCAATTGTCTCGGGATTAACCCTTGGCCATCCAAATATTGCTCTCTCTTCTCTGTGTCTTCCTCCCAGCCCCCACGTCATCTCTTGGGTGTCGAGGCATCTTCCACTGGCCACGAAATGACAGAGAAATCATCCATCTGCTGAAGCCTCTGTGCGCACCGTGGAATCGGTATGTCTGTAATGGCACGACTGCTTTAAGAGAACAGCCCCGCTTCTTCACAAACTCTAGTCAAATCACTTGGAATCTGTCCATCAAGAAATTAAATCTGTAGAGTCCAAAGCAAGCTCCCTAGAGCTTTACAAACAAGCTGGCCGGCAAGGCAGCGCCTCCTACGGTGTCTGTGTGGAGCGCTAAGATCTGTGGCTCCTTTTGCCTCACGGGGTGTGTGCTCAGACACGGCTTTGCACATCAGCCTCTCCACCTGCACTTAGGGACAGAAGGTGTGGAGACTCCGGAACTTCATGAACTGTTTGCTGTGCTCTCCCTTCCCGAGGTAGTCTGGGTTTCACTCCCAGCTCTCCGGAGCTTAACCCTCCTCCCTCTCCGGGGAATGTCTGAAACCTACAAAGAATTCTCAGGAATTCGAGGAGGAGGGTGGCAGAGAGACTTCTATTCCTGAGGGCCAAGGAACCGTCCTCTTGGCGTCAGTCCTAGTGGGGACCCTCGGTTTTGACTTGTCGTTCCTGGACTGCGTCTGACCTTAACATGTGTGCCCGAGTGATGGACTTGGTATTTACACCAGCCACGCTGATAACTGCACATGTGTTTTTAATGTTTTGGCTTTCCACACCACAAACACACAGATGTGCTGTCGGCTGGGCTGGGACTTGAGTAGGGTCTTTCTATTAAAAAAAGATGTATAAATGTTTAAAAAGTGCTCTCCCAGAGCTAACACCGTTGCGAGCAGTACTTCCCGCCACACAGGGCAAAGTCCATCCACTGCCCCAGCGTGGAGGGCCACCACAGGAGGCCTCACCTGGAGAGGTGCTGCTCACAGCAAACTGTTCCAACTGCGCCTTCGCCTCGCCTTCCAGGGAGCCCGGCCAGGCCCGCTGGGGATTTACAAGCAGACCTCCCTCGCTTCAGCCTTCCTGACCCCCAGTTAGCTGGGAACAACCTGTCTGCATTGCAGCTAGAGAACCGAGGAGAGGAGCCGCTAGTCTAGCGGGCTGTTGGTTGAAATTAGGAAACAGTGTAAAAAAAAAGAAAAGTTTGGGAGGCGGAGGCAGGCGGATCACCTGAGATCAGGAGTTCGAGACCAGCCTGGCTAACATGGTGAAACCCCGTTTACTAAATATACGAAAAATTAGTCGGGCGTGGTGGGGCGCGCCTGTAGTCCCAGCTACTCGCGAGGCTGAAGCAGGAGAATGGCTTGAGCCCGGGAAGCAAAAGTTGCAGTGAGCCGAGATCGCTCCACTGCATTCCAGCATGGGCGACAAGAGCCAAACTCAATTTCAAAAAAAAAAAAAAAGCCTCCATAATTTCGTAGGTTTACAAGTAGGATCCAGGCTCCTCACTTCTCTACAAGTCGATGCGAGTTAATTACACCGTCCACCCTGGTCTCTCTCCACCCGACGACGCGATCCATTCCTCCTTTTTTTCCCTCTTGCCCTTTTCCTCCTCCTCCTTTATTTATGTATTTTGGTTTTGTTTTTTAAGGGGTGTTGAGCTGCGTCTGGTTCTAGTAAACCGACCCCGCTCGCGAGGGAGGCGATTGGCTCCCTCGCCGGTGACTGACGTGGTAACGAGTGCGGCTTGCCCCGCCGGGAGCTGATTGGCTGCGCGGGGCGGCTCCGAGGTCTCAGCGGCAGGAACCCCGCGCACTCCAGCCTTGCAGCCTCAGGAGTCGGTGCCGCGCGCCCGCTGCCCCGCGCCCTCCTGCCCACCGCGTATCTCGGAGCCAGCCCACCGCGCCTCCTCCCCGCCCGCGCCGCCTCCCGCCGCGTCGCCTCCTGCCGCAGGCCGAGGGCCGCCACCGGCCGGGACCGGGAGGCAGCGCGGGGCCGCGGAGCCGGCCAGCACTGGGGACGGCGCCTTTTGTCCCCGGAGGTCCCTGGACGTTTGCGGCGGGACGCGCGCAGGGAGGCGGCGGAGGCAGCCCGACGTCGCGGGGGCCGAGGCGCAGAGCCGGCATGGGCAGCGGGCGCAGCGCGGGGGGCAGCCGCGGGGCCGCCCTGGGCGTGCTGCTGGCGCTGGGCGCCGCACTCCTGGCTGCGGGCTCGGCCAGCGAGTACGACTACGTGAGCTTCCAATCGGACATCGGCCCGTACCAGAGCGGGCGCTTCTACACCAAGCCGCCGCAGTGCGTGGACATCCCCGCGGACCTGCGGCTGTGCCACAACGTGGGCTACAAGAAGATGGTGCTGCCCAACCTGCTGGAGCACGAGACCATGGCGGAGGTGAAGCAACAGGCCAGCAGCTGGGTGCCCCTGCTTAACAAGAACTGCCACGCCGGCACCCAGGTCTTCCTCTGCTCTCTCTTTGCCCCTGTCTGCCTGGACCGGCCCATCTACCCGTGCCGCTGGCTCTGCGAGGCCGTGCGTGACTCGTGCGAGCCGGTCATGCAGTTCTTCGGCTTCCACTGGCCCGAGATGCTTAAGTGTGACAAGTTCCCTGAGGGGGACGTCTGCATCGCCATGACCCCGCCCAATGCCACCGAAGCCTCCAAGCCCCAAGGTAAGGCCCTCCTCCGAGGCGCGCGAGACTCTCCACCGGCTCCGCTGCCGGGCATGCGGGAGAGCCCACTCCACCCCACGCCCGGCTGCCGCTGGGTCCCGGCGTTGAGGATTGGCGGCCCGAGGTTGCCCTCATGCTGTGCACGTGATTCCTAAGCGCGTCTGGTCTGTCCCAGGTATCGCTCAGCGCCCCTCGCGACCCCCGTGCACGGTGGGGCTGGCCGGGGAGCGGCAGCTCTGCGCCCCGGCCTCGCAGGGACTGACTGTGGTCCCAGGAGCCGCTCTTCCTGGGGTCCAGCTTCGCCTTTCCTATACCTGAAACAAAGACTTGCGTTTTAAATAACAGGGGAGCTCCCCTCTCCTCTGGGAGGACTCCGAGTCCCTATCGAAGTTTTTACCTCTGAGACGGGAGGAAAAAACCAAAAACCAAAACCCAATACGAAGAAAGTTCGGAAAGGCCGAGAGAACGCTTGACGCAGCTTTATTTTCATAGGTTCGACAGAGATTTTTAAAAATAAAACCAAGCCCTTTCCTTCACTGGTCATTAAGTCGAGTAGCCTCGAGATTGCCGCAGAACTGGCTGAGAAAGTTTAGGACCCGTGGGGGCTTGTGTTTCCCCACCCCTCCCAGGTACCAGCTCTGCCCTCGGAGGGCTGGGGATAGAAAGTCTCTTCTCCCCCCCTTTGGCATACCCCCTGCTTCTCTCATTTACACAAATCCTCAGCTCATTAGAAAGATAAAAATGTAATTAGCTCATTGTTCATCTCCTCCCTGGGAGAACGGATCTGCAAATTGGAGACTTTCCTAACACCCTGGGGGACCGGCCCGAGGATCCTCTCGGAACCCCTTAGTATTTAAAGGGCAATTCTGGAGGGGGAAGAAAATATCCTGGGGAGTCAAATAAAATAAAATATAAAATATAGACAACACAGAGAAACCCCAGCCCTGTGGCCTGACTTCGATAGAAGTAAATTCAACCCAGGATTCTTTGGAAGGAAGTTTAGGCTCCGCGATGTGGAGAGGGTCAGGGATGGGGGAGCTCCCGGTGCGCTTAGCACAGGCGCAGGCTTCCTGAGGGCTTTTTGAGGAGGGCCTTTAGGGTGAGGGAGGACGGCTGCGTACACTTAGCTCACCTTAAAGTGTCTTTAACCTCTGTTGATGCCACCTGGCTCTTCAGAGTGAGGATTCCAGTAGGTTGGGGAAAGGGACACCCCAGATCTTGGATACGTTTGCTTATTCTAGGGAGGGAGGAGATGAGTCCACAGTGAGTGACGTTGGATGGCCGGGTGGGAACGGCAGTGATTGCCCGCACTGGCCAGGTCTGCCACCGCTGCTCTCAGGGTCAACTCTGGAGGTAGAAGCGGAATGAGGGGTAGCAGAGATATCTGTACTTTGCGGGCGAGAGCTGAGCAGTTACCTGGGGCAAACAAAGCGCCTTGTGTTCTCTTGGCTTGCACCCATTCCCTGCAGCCCGTGGAATTTCCTTCTCCCCTTCCTCAGCCAGGGGGGATTAGCCCAGCCCTGCCCGGAGAGGCTATGCCCAGCCCTGACCTGGAGTCCATGCCAATGGCCACTGGCTTCGGTTTCTGGGACCATCTTCAGACATTATTGGACACGTTAGGGAATCGGCTGCAGAAAAAGTGGCTGCAGGCCACGGGGAACATGAGCGGCTGGATAGGGTGCCTGCAGAAGAGAGGAAAGAATCCTCCACCCCAGCCTCCAGAAGGCTGTGATGGGGTGAGGAAACCGCATAATCGCTGTCTTCCGGACACCTTTTGCTCCTTGGCTGCAGTTCCACTGGCGGACGCCCTCCTCAGCCTGGCTTCTCACCATCCTCTCTCCTCCACTCCTCCCGGCAGCGCGCAGGTAGTCACCCTCCCAAGACAGGTCTTTGAAGAACAAAGAGAAAAGCGGGGAGAGGGCCTGTCGGGAGTGGGGCTTGGGACAGGTTCTCCCCGCAGTGGTTTTGATGGGGGGTTCTGCTTGAGAGGACACAGCATCCTCCCCAGGACTGTAGCCCCTCGTGTAAGGGAGCCCCACATGATTTCCTATGAGGTCTCCATGGAGGGGAGGATGGTGTGTGTGTGTGTGTGTGTGTGTGTGTGTGTGTAGGTGTGTACAGGGCAGGTCAAGACAAACGAAACATGGTCCTCTTAACTTTACGGCTTGTGCCTGTGGAGTAATAACTGATACTTTCCAATGAGAATAAGAACAAATGCGTTACTTTTTTATTCATTTATCCTTCATGCTTTTATTCTTTAGATTTAAAACGCATTTTCAAAGTCGTGTCTTATATTTGCATGTGGGAAGCTGGTTTCTGTTCACACACTTGGGCATATTCGGTTTTGGGGTATTGGCGAGCACTCCATGGTCATGTGTTATTTAGGAGAAACCTGATATTGAGAAATGACTTGACATCCCTGCAGCCCCCTGCCCCCCAAGCTCCCCCCTTGGGAGCTTGACCTCCCAAGCCATAGCAGCTCCTGTTACGGAAGAGGCAACGGTTCTTTTTCTAGGGAAGTTATTTCTAAATTGGGCATTTCAGTGAGAACTATGAACTCCCAGGTTGATGCACTGCTGTTTGCCTTCTCTGCCTGGTTTTGCCATGGAACTTGTATGAGCCAGCACACTGGGTTTTATTTTGTTGCTGTTTCGGCATGTTGCACGTTTAGTCAGCCTGGCAGAGGCCACGGAGCCCTCAGTTCCCCCGGAAAGCCTTTCTTAGGGCTCCCTTTTGGTCCCCCCGGAACTGGCCAGGGAAGATTGTGGGGGTTGTGTGTGAGAGAGTGAGAGAACACTTGTGTGTGTGCATTGATATATTACAAAAATCAGTTAATCCTGATTTGGCTGTTGGGATCTCTTCTCTGTACCCCCTTAAATATTTATAATAAACACAGCACCTTTGTGGTTTTTTTGTCCATCTGCTTTAAACATTATTTTAAATACACCTGAAAACAGTGATTTAGTTCCTCCTCTCGGAAGGATGACTGGGTGGATTCTCCTGTAGAGGCAGCCTGTAGGGCCTCAAGACGCCCAAAGAAGGCACGGGTTAATACAGCATCACATATTCTTTTTTCTCTCTCTGGATCTGGCTGCTCCAGAGTCAGCTGTTACAGAAGCTGAGATAGGGGAAAGCCGTGGTAAAAACACACAGAGCCCACCCCAATGAGCTGCTGCCACTCTGAGAGGCCCTGAAGTTCAAACGTAATTGACAGGACTGAGGAAAATGTCCCTGTGAGGTGCAGAGCCCTCCGGGGCCAGCTGGGTCAGGCGAACCTCAGGTGTCCAGAGGAGATGCAGTGAGCGTGTGGAGCAGGCAGAGATGTGCCCTTTATATTCTGATCACCCTGACTGACCTTGCTATTTGGTCAAGATTATATTCACAGAACCTTGCAATGTGAGAACTCCCACTGTTCTTTTTTCAAAATACCCTAAACAAGGAAAACCCAAAAGCACAGTTTACTTTCCTTGTGTAAGTAACCTGGTCCTTTCCTTGCCAGAATTCCTTTTCCTCACATGGACACAAAAGCTCTAATGCCAGTTTCTGGGTAAGTTACCTCCTTTATGAGAATCACCACCTCTAGAACTTGATCTCGAGTTCTGGGTATAAAGCAAATTTCCACAATCGGGGCTAACAGCAGTCCCATCATCTGCTTGGAGCATCTTTCTTGCTTTTTTTTCTTCTTTTTTTGGTGACAGACTCTCATGGTCGCCCAGGCTGGAGTGCAATGGCAAACTACAAATTCCACCTCCCAGGTTCAAGAAATTCTCCTGCTTCCACCTCCCAAGTAGCTGGGACCACAGACAATGTGCCACCACGCCTGGCTAACGTTTTTGTATTTTTAGTAGTGATGGGGTTTCACCCTGTTAGCCAGGATGGTCTCTATCTTCTGACCTTGTGATCCACCCGCCTTGGATTCCCAAAGTGCTGGGAATATAGGCGTGAGCCCCCGTGCCTGGCCCTTGGAGTGTGTTCCTTAATTACACCAGGGATCTGGAAGGTGCTTGCTCCTGGGTGCAGAGTGAAGGTGGGAGAGGGATGTGTCAATAAAAACTAAGGGTGGGGTCTCTGCTGGGCCCTGCAGGGACCCAGCTTGGAGGCAAGGAGTAGTCTGTGGGCCACCAGTGTCCAGAGGGCAGCCTTGAGCTGGGGGTGCCCTCCGGATCCCCGATTCTCCTCCATTTGCGGAGCATTTACCTATTTTTTTTTTTTTTGAGATGGAGTTTCGCTCGTTACCCAGGCTGGAGTGCAATGGCACGATCTTGGCTCACCGCAACCTCTGCCTCCTGGGTTCAAGCAATTCTCCTGCCTCAGCCTCCTGAGTAGCTGGAATTACAGGCACGCTCCACCATGCCCAGCTAATTTTTTGTATTTTTAGTAGAGACGGGGTTTCACCATGTTGACCAGGATAGTCTCGATCTCTTGACCTCGTGATCCACCCGCCTCGGCCTCCCAAAGTGCTGGGATTACAGGCTTGAGCCACTGTGCCCGGCCGAATTTGCCTATTTCAATGTCAGCCATAGTGGGGGCTGCTGGAGAGGGAGATGCTGCCACAGAAGCCACGGTGGAGAACGATGAAGAGCAGTAGGCTCGAAGCGCACCAACCCCCACCTCCTCCCCCGAGTTCAGTGTCGGGGAGACTTTCCTGTGCTCTTCGTTCACCTCTAGCCTGGCTTGGCGTTCTGTGCTGTGCCCGGGGTGGGATGCCCCTGCAATGTGCTTATGTTTTTCTAGAGAGTCGATAAGCTCCAGGCTGCTTGATAGGTGAGGATGACGACGGTGAGGATTAGCCCCTTCAGCCCTTGGAGGAAAGCACTGTCCTGCTCTCCCTCTGCCCTGGGAAGTGGGGGTTCTTTTCCTCCACTGGACTTTCTGATTTCAGTAGAATATTGACTTGGAGGAGGCTTCTGCCCTGGCCTCAGACATCTCCGTTCAGGCAGTGGAGCTGCCTCCCAGTGACAGGCATGTCTGCCCCTGCACACCTCCTCTTCAAAGCACTCCACAGTTGCCCAGGAAAGAGCCTCTAAAGGGCCCCTTCACATCCAGCCCTGTCCTCCCATTTGGCAGCCCCTGCTAGCGCTCTGCCCTACTCCCATCCGCCCCGCCTGCCTGCCTCAGCCTCCTGCTGTGATGGCCCTTTTGGAGGGGGGTGTTCAGGGGCCGAGGGCTGGGGTTTGTGAGTCTGGCTGAGTTTCTTTCTCTCTTGGCTCCTGGTGACCTGGTCAGAGGGATCAGCAGGCTAGCTGGGAGTATGGAAGTGGGAAGGGGGCAGGAATCGGAGGGTGGTATTGAAAGAAGAAGGGAGAGGATGGGAAGCAAACACCAGGAAGAGATCTTTGTGGGTTCGTAAGCCAGCTTTTCCCGGCATTCACAGCGCCAAGTCATCATTCACATGACCTGCCCCCACCCAGCCTCAGGTCATGCTGCCTTAAATAACTGTGTCACATTTAGCAGCTCTGGGTCAAAATGTTACAAGAAACCTGTGCCTGCTCTGGCTGTAGACCCTGGGCTCAAGGCTGCTGCTTTTTAATTCTCAGGTCCCCTTCAGAAGTTCCAGAAGAACTTTACCACTTTCAGCCTGGACCCAGGGCCGATCTCTTCCCCAGGGGGCTGCTTCCTTCCTGCCCTGTAACTTACAGTTCTGTTTCTCCCCAATTCCCTTCCCAGGCACAACCGTGTGTCCTCCATGTGACAACGAGTTGAAATCCGAGGCCATCATCGAACATCTCTGCGCCAGCGAGTTTGGTAAGAAAGCGTTTCTAGCCTCTGGAAGGTTTGGAACCTCCTGGTGTGTGTCCCTTCCGGACGGAGGCCCTGCTGGTGTCTCTGGTGTATTGTTGCAGCTTTACACATTTCAGTACCTCATTCCTCTCCAAATGGGTGCTTTTGTCTGGCAGATGAGAGACTAGACAAGGTCAGGAACCAGCCAGTCTTTATGAAGGCCATACTTTGCCCCCCTTTGTGGGGAATCGCTGGACAGATTTTTGGGGATCTTGTCTAGGCGTGCAGGGAGGCTGATTTGGGGACAGGTCAAGAGGAGTGGGGAAGGACAGCAGCTTCTTCTCGGAAGCTGCAGGAGGTAGATGTTGCCACTTGCTTTGGCGGCTGGTAGGGCCCGGCTTTTTCTGGACTGGCTCCTCTTTTTAACATCTACCCCTAGGTGTCACCATGACTCTGCCCAGGACTTAAATGGCTGACCTCTGGGCGCCTTCCCAGGGAGGGGAGATTTCAGTGCTTAGGGGATTCAGAGAAGGGTCCTCATCAGGTTCTGTGAGTCAAAGAAAACGAACATCCCCACAGTAGTGTGGTTTTTCTCTCTTCTTCCCAAGTCACTCTCTGTCAACAGAGAATTCTGAATCAGCACTCGTACCTCCAGGGGGAGGAGCTGGTAGGGGTCAGGGGATAGTGGGGGAGATGCCAGGAGCCTTGGTCCTTTCAGGGATAGTCTGTTACAGTCTGACCTGCAGAAGATCCGAATTCCCAAGAGCCTGAGAGTCTCTCCTCTGGGAAAAGTAAATGTAAACAGCATCTCTTTGGAGGCCCAGCTCCCTCTCTCTCGCCTCTGACATGGATGCAGAGCAGTGGCTGGGGCCAAGCCACTATTTCGGAAGGATCAGTGTCATGCTGAACAATGTGTTTCTCATAATTCCTGCATTGTGTCCCTGAGATCGATTTCTTGCAGAATCCTTATCCGGAAAAGCGTAAAGATAGGTGATGTGAGTCGTTTAGAGGCATCCCAGCCCATGTTAAAGTACATGGAAGGGTCTTGTTCCTGTAAGGAGCCCTCTTGAAGTAAGCTGCACACATGTGGGAGGACACATGCAAGTCAGAGGGCATCGTGCATCATGACACGGTCGTTCTCAGGGTATTGCAATTATGGATGAAGATGGAAGCTGGATGCAGATGGTCACCAGAGCTGAACTGGAGAGCGCATATCCTCATTCCATAAGTGGGGAAGATTGACGTGTTCTCTATGATGCAGCAGTGTGAGTTACTTGTCTGTTTCTGCATTAACTCAAGTTTGTCAGCGAGGATTTCCTGAATATCAAGTGCTTTCTGAGTTTTATAGATACAGATTTAGGGTAGAACTCTTCCTCTAAATAAATGTTAATACATGAGCATTATTTAAAACAAACAAACAGAAGTTGGAGGTTTCAGGATTCAGACCCTTTGCCACATGGGCTGAAGAGGCACCCCTTGGGAAAGAATTTGAATCTGACAAGTTTGACCTTAAGGTGTAGGGCAGGGGTCTCGAGGGCACTCAGGTAACTCACTAGGGATGGACATCTTCCCATGGCAGCAGGCACTTGCCGAGTCAGCCAGCGTCCTGCATCCCAAAGAGGACGGAGGAGCTCATGTCTCGATAACCAGTCAGGGTTTGTGGAGTCTGAGTGAGTAGCTGTCTGGGATTCGGTTCTTTTAGCCCTGACAAAATTTTCTTCTTGGATTTACAGAACTTTTGAGTTCTTTCTGGATCTCAGAGGTCATCTTATCCAGTCCTCTTATTTGATAAAGAAGGAATTTGACTTTCCCAACAGGAGTCCTTCTGCACTCTGCCACCTGCCCTCCTCACTTAAGAGACGAGCACTTTCTCACTTAAGAGTCGACACACAGCCACTGGGCTTTGACATGGAGGTGCTGACCTCCTTAGTGTGCGTATGGTGTATGGCAGGCTTCTTTGAGCTGGTTGCAGGAGAAACCTTTTTGTTTTTTTGTCTGTAATGTTCTCATAAAACAATACATAGGATTTTTTTTTTCTCTCTCTCTGCAGGGGCTGAGCTTAGCTCTGCCCTTCTTAGCACCTCAGAGAATGCAGCCTTGTCGAGAAACGTGTTTCCTAGCTCAGTTCACTTCAAGTAAGTGAGGCAGTCAGCCACGCTGATGGGATTCCGTTAGGAAACAAAGAAATTGAACAATGCAAGCTGACACACAGCAGAGAAGAAAGAGAATGCTTGACTCCCTCCTCCAGGGATCAAACTTTGCATTAAGTGGCCCTGACATCCCCAATGGGAAGACATCAGGTTGCTGGAAGGCTCTCTGTGAGCTCCAGGAGAGAGGGATGCGTTTCCCTGGGTAAGCAGTACCCTCCTTCCCCTGCCTCTGTATGTGTGGATCCTGGCAGCCTCTGTTGATCTGGGCATGTCTGACCCCTGACCTCCCCAGGCAGTGTGCTTTAACCCCTTGGCAGGTCTGCTTAGTCACTTGTGTCTCCAGCTCCGCACTGTACCCCCTTAGTTCAGGGCACAATTTTTTCCCCAACAGGAAAAAAAACACACACACAAACATGAGCAGAAAAGTTTGTGTGCTGATGCTCAGGAATGCAGCTGATCAGCCTGGATCAAGCACCAGATGTGGGAGCCAAGACTTAGACGGGCGAAGTCACCGCATTGAACCTGGCGACCAGCCTGCCTGCTGGCTTCCATCAGCTCGCAGGGCTCTGCTTTTTGTTCTCTCTCTGCTTTTCCTGCTCTGTGACAACAGGGTGCCACTCCTACCTCTTAAATAGCCCAATATAGTATTTGCAAGCCACCATGCTAATCATCCTGCTGTTAACAGCTCAGCACCCGCAGCTGTCTGCCGTTTGGGTTGGTTTATCCCAGGGATATGAGGATCTGATTTATTTATAATTGCGGTGAGGTGAATTCCCGCCTCTGGCCACTTTCTCTGGCTTCCTCTGCAGTGTCTGTAAACACCCGTAAGCTTTCTTGGGAGAGGTCTGCACGGTGATATACTTCTGCTAGGGGAGTTTCGAGCTTCCACTTGCACTGCTTTCTGGGGTGTTTTGAGCTTGAGAGTTCAGGTGACAATTTGTTTAGCTCAGTATTTTATCCATGTGGAAAAGAATTTCTTTGTCCCCAGAAACTTTCCTTGCCTTCTGAGAGGATTCTTTTTTTTCCATTTATATATTTCCTCATAAAGAGAAAAGCTGTACTCGGCAACACTAAGATTAGTCAAATAGGAAGGAAAAGAAAATCAGCTTTCACAGGTAGCGTCAGGGAGTATTTCCTAGTAGAAATGCTTTCAAAGGTTCCTGCACGTGCACTAATCTGTTCTCACTCTGCCTCCAACTTCTTTCAAGGTGTTTTGGCTATGCTGCTGTTTGCAACAATGTTTTACTCTGAAGGGCAGTTCCAGCTCTTGCAGAAAGTAAGCTCATCCTTTCCAAACTAAACCTTGGGTTTCCTCCTGAAGGTGAGGCAAGCTGGCTGCTAGCACTGTTACTGTAGCACCTGCAGGCTGCCTGAGAGCAGGCTCTGTATCCGATGCCATGTTTTACTTGATGGGAGATGCCTGTTAATTGTGAGACACACTGTTCAGTTTGCGCTGACCAAAAAAAAAAAACAACCCAACAACAGCAACACACTTCTTGCAGAAATGTGCAGAAAAATCTGTGTCGTGGAATGAACAAAGTAAGGCCTGTTTGTACTCAAATAGTCCCCAGCACAGTGTCTTATACATGGTAGGCATAAAATGAAAGTTTGTCAGCTGAGTGTTTGAATAATAGGTGATGGCAGGGATGTGGATGTTTGACTGTTTTTTTTTTTTTTTTTTTGGAGGCTTAATCTCACCTACTTGAGCTGGAGTGCAGTGGAACCATCTCAGCTCATTATAATCTCTGCCTCCTGGGTTCAAGCAATTCTCTTGCCTCAGTCTCCTGAGTAGCTGCGATTACAGGTGCCCGCCACCACACCCAGCTAATTTTTATATTTTCAGTAGAGATGAGGGGGTTTCACCATGTTGGCCAGGTTGGTCTCGAACTCCTGACCTCATGTGATTCACCTGTCTCGGCCTCCCAAAGTGCTGGGATTACAGGCTTGATGGACTTCTTTCTTTCTTTGTATTTTTTATAAAGGAGAAGGTTCTTTTCAAGGTGGATATTGGCAACTTGTGTGGAAAGTTCAAGGGAAACTACATGTCCCATTGTGGGTGACTGAGTGTATTGATGTTTAAAAGAAGCCCCAGCATCCAGAAATCTCATTTAGTCAAAGTAAAATTAGACATGGAAGGAATCATTACCCCCGGACTGGAATTGCTAGGCAGAAAACAACTGGGTTTTATTGTTACTGAAGATACATAGCCCATCCACAGATCTGTACAGGCTTGGAGCGAATTGTTAGGATGTTTCATGTGCATAAAAACCTGGGTTGTCCCATTGCTGAGTACACTAGAGATGTGACTCCCAGCCAAGAGCCTGCATCTCTTTCTGAGCAGTCTTACTCTGCACGGGAGTTGAGGGGGCAGGGACAGTGCAGAGATGGAGGCCGAGCCAGCGTTTGTCCTTTTGCATCTGGCTTATTTTCCTACTCATTGCCCTCATCTTTGGATGTGACTATAAACTCTCATAAGAAGGGGAGTGGAGAGAAGGATTTGCCCTCAAGTTCACGTTTATTTTCTGAAGTTTTTCTGGAGGTGGGTAGAGAAAGAGGGGACAACGGGTGGGTGGGACGAGGGGGCTGTTCACATCCCATGTAAACTTCCATTTCTTTGGGTACTCTGTTGCTCACCTGTACCACTTACTTTTTTTTAATGGATGCCAAATAGTTGTACATATTTCTGAAGTATGTTTGATATTTTGATAAAAGCATCCAATGTGTCATGATCAAACCTGGGTAATTGCGGCTGGGTATGCTGGCTCGCATCTGTAATCTCAATGCTTTGGGAGGGTGAGGCAGGAGGATTGCTTGAGGTTAGGAGTTCTAGACCAGCCTCGAGACCCCAGACAACATAGTAAAACCCTGTCCCCA